TCTCTCTCTCTCTCTCTCTCTCTCTCTCTCTCTCTCTCTCTCTCTCTCTCTCTCTCTCTTTTATATATTAATTGGAGAACAGATCTTTATATATCGCATAATGCATAAAGTATGATAAAATCAACTCTGGCAGAGTTTTTTATTTCATGAAAACGAAGGAAATAAAGGACTTTGATTGGTCCATTTTTTCATGCATTATGCGTTATGCAAGATTCTCCCGCTTTTATCCTTTTAAAAGCCGATAAAAATGTGAATGGCAGACACGTTATTAAATCAAACACAACGGCGTTATCTCTTTCTTTTTCCTCGGTCTGTCTTCCACTTCTTAAATCATCCAACCCTGGAGGAATCGCGCCCGCGCACTATCATCATCAAGGGCCAAGCCTACACACTCATATACGTTTACATGCGCGGCGTGCATGGGATCTTTAAATATCCCAGCGGCGGATTACGAAGACCTATCGTTTATAAGGGACCACCTATATAAAGTTACCGAGAAGTTTAGTCGGCCGTTGTAGTACCTATATCGTGGTGGGTGGGTGAACAGTATCTCGTTGGTCGCGCTCGACACCGCCGAGTAGTGGGTGGTTGATAGTGATGGTGTTGGTGGTAGTGGTAGTAGTGGTGGTGGTGGTGGCGGTGGTGGTGGTGGTGGTGATGGTAGGTAGTGGTGGTGGTGATGGTGGTGCTGCTGGCTGCTGCTACTGCTGCTGCTGTTCCTGATGCCGGCTCACAGCCGCTGGTAATAGTACGGCGGTGGTGGTGCCGGTATCGGTAGTGGTGGTAGTGGTGGTGCTTGCCCCTCAGTGTCCGGCGCGCCTCCGACAAGCGTGCTTCGGTCGTTACGAGAGGATCCTATGAACGCGCTCCCGGCGTTCATCGCGGATGACATCGGCTGACTTTCTGCCGGCGTCGCAAAATAGAGAGACAGCCAAAGAGACGGACCAGGATAATAACGGCAAGTGGGCAAAGCGGGAAGAGTTGCAGGTGGAGGAAGAGGAGGAGGAGGAAGAAGAGAGGGAACACGGAGTCGAGGAAGCCGGAGTCGGGACGGGATTACGATCGTGTACGTGGGATTACGCGGATTACCGTCGGTTCGGTCGGGCTGTCGCTGTCGCATAAGGAAGGATGCGATTAGCTTCGGCCACGCTACGGTGCTCGTCGTCGGTGACGGGGTTCATGGTGACTGGTTCACGCGGATCGTTGGCGCGGGTCAGGACCGGCCCGCGACGTTTGCCGCATGCGGCAGACAGACACGACAACGACGAGTCCTGCTAACCGACGAGTCGCAGAAGAAGTGGACCATCGCGAGCGTCCGGACGTCCGACGAGATCGTCCAGAGGAGATCACGTCCCGGAGGAGAACACGGGGGATCGTACTCGTGAGAGCGCGTGGATCGCTACGGGTGGAGTGTGCCCTGTAGTCGGAGTATCGGCATACGGAGCCACGCCAGACTTTTAAATGGTGCATTATTATTCCGGGGATCTTAGCCGTAGTGAAGAGTTAGGTATACATAGGAAGTGCCCGAGAAAGTCGAGAAGACCCTAGTCGATAGCGAGCGACGTCGCCGCTTCATTCGTTCCGAGGAGCCGGCGTGACAGGGAGGAAGAAAGAAAGAGAGAGAAAGAGAGGAAGGGCGAGGGAGAAAGGGAGAGAGAGAGAGAGAGAGAGAGAGAGAGAGAAAGAGAGAGAGAGAAAAAAAGGGGTTAGAGTAGCGAAGTGAAGCGTGCACACACAGTCAAGTTCAACGACCCGCTCGGATTAGCTCGCGCGAACGAGCGGAAGGCCGGCTCAAGGACGGTGTTCAGGAGGAGTCCGACGGAAAGGGAGACGCACGGAAGGAAAGAGAGCGTGAATAGCGCGAAGTATATACATCTACAATTATATATACATATATATATATATATATATATATATACATACGTATATAATAAACATCTATATATGTACGTACGAGGAAACGCGTTTATGAGTGAACGTGACTACGCGGAAGCAAAGCGAATGGCCGAAACTACGAGCGGCGTCCACCGGTCGGTTACGGCGATCCATCGCTTGGGTGAGAACGATTTTAAGGCGCCGGCAACCAGTAGTTGGTGATGGGGGGTTTAGGCGAGGATGCCTTCTCCCTGTCTTCTCTGTCGTCATCATCACCGTCGTCGTCGTCACCGCTACACGCCGTCATCCCCTACGCCGTCGAGTCGTTGTACTGTTCCGTCCCAGGTCGTCCTGTCGTCTTCAGTGACCGCCATCGTCGTCGTCGTCGTCGTGGTCCCCGTAGTCCCTCGACACCACCGCAAGCAAGGAGGGAGTCCGTTAACGGCAAGCAGAAGAGGATCCTCACCGGTGCGAGTAACTTCCTGCTTTTCGGCATCGAATGCGTCGGTGGTAGCGACATCAGCGTCGTCGTCGACGGGGAACCTAACGATACCCCAGGAGAAAGAAAGCCGGAGCCTCTTCGCGCATCAGGTAGGACACTCGGGGTACCGGTATCGGGGTACCAAGAACAGAAGGAAAGAAGGGAGCACCGAAGCAAGAGGAGGAGGAGGCGAAGGTGGTACGGACGAACGAGGTGACTCGCCGTCGAGATGCACCAGGTGCCTTACGGACACAGCGGTACCTCAAGCGAAGGCCGAAACGATAGGATCTTCTGGGAGCAGCAGCAACAGCAGCATCAGCAGCCCGAGTGCGCCAGGCGAGTGCTGCAACAGCAGCAGCCTAGATCTCACGGTCGTGCCCGTGCCCGTGCCCGCGCCCGCGCCCGCGC